GCGGACCGGGCGGAGCCGGCGCCTGCCGGCCCGGCGGCTGCTCTCGTTAGAGCTCGCCGCCGCCGTTATACACTGGCTGCGCGGCGCGGCGACGTCAATCATGCATAGTTCTCAGGCGGACGACGGACGCATATTTCTGACCGTTTGTCTTGCATACCATAAGGAGTCGAGAAACAACGCCGAGTTTACCGTGTTTGTTACGTCGACTTTACGCTTTTACCCTCCGATATTCGGTGTGTTCGTACATGGTGTGGTTAGGCCTATTCCCCTTGGGCGTTTGGTGTCCCGCGCTCCACCGCTCTCTTCGCTTCCCCCGGGGCCGCAAAACGAAGGTGCCGTTTGGCGTCGGCGCGTTTTCACGTTAGCGTTTTCATTGGTCTGGTGGCGCTGTGGCATCGGCATTGTCTGTTGGAGTCGCGTCGGTATTGTCTGTTGGAGTCAGCGTGTACAAAGCGGCGCTCCGAGCCGGAGCGAGCGTTGCCCCCGGCTGGGGACGGCATACAGGCCGGCTGGGTCTGGCCCCTGTCGAAGCAGTAGCGAGCGTACAAAAGCCAGTCCACCTTCGTGGAGCTGTTGAACGGCGCTGGGCAGACTCGGCCGGGCGACTGTGAATCAAATACAGGCGTAGTCTGGTGGTAACGCCCGTGTGTTCCTGACGACAGGGAACGCTGTTGGCCTGGCCACGGGCGAGAACACATTGTCGGTGTCTGCGCCTTACACCGGGTCCAGTCTTCCAACACCGGGCTCAGCCCGTCGGTATCCGAGCCAACACCGGGCTCAGTCCGTCGGTATCTGAACCCAACACCGGGCTCAGCCTGTTGGTATCCGAGCCTACACCGAAACTATTACGTTGAAAGTCGAAACACAAAGTCGAGCGAAACGCGAAGCGTACCTAGGATAGCAAACTTCGGGATCCCTCCGCGCCCAAACTCGGCGAATTCTCGCTGTGGCTACCAGATGGACGGTTTATCCACTCGTCCTACACAGACAGGACAGTGAACCGGAACAGGCGGCACATTATTTCTAGATAGTTGCCATCAATAAGGCTTCTTCGTTGGAAAGACAGCTGCAAGTTGTCTGACACGGCCGCGAGTCTCAGGGCAGTCTATTTGGGTCTTTGAATGGTGCCTACAGGGAATCAACCTAGACGGGTGGCGATATCGCGACGAAGCCCGTGCCAAGCAGCCACAAAACCGCTTGCGGCAAGGCAAAGCACCTGGACACGACAGGCGCGCTCTGGAGGGCAGTGACTCGAGCTCCGAGCTCAGTGTGCATGCCCATATGGCGTTTGTAATGCGCTGGCTGGCGGGTAGCGTGTGGACCGAAAACAACAGAATTCAAAAACCGACGAGTGTATTGTACTCGCAGCTGACCATGTACCAGGGCTATCGAATGCACACAGTCGCAATCTGTCAGTTGAATAATAAGCGTATTTCCCGAGCCACCATCACCCGGCTTTCATTCTACATGCACACTGGGCAAAGGAGTGATTTGATCAAACAAGGTCGTCTGCCGCTGCGATATTGCCGGCTGATACCGCCCCTACGATGATATCGTTAGCAGAAGGTTGCATCTTTCATCACTTGGCTAGGTGCCCAGGTGAGATCATTTGTCCAGGTGAAATGTGCTCATTCTATTACCACCCTTTAAATAACCCTGAGCCCCTGAAATATGATGCATCGAACATTTGCTGCTGCTTGAGCTTGGTTCACGCGCTCGTTTTCCCCCCTGAAGGACCGAGCGAGGTGAAGAGCTGGTCGAAGCTAGAGCCCGGTGCATACTTTCCTGACTGCACGAAACTCAGAAATGATCTTGGACATAAAGGGTTATTAAATGGCTGGAGGTCATGCATGCCGTCGGGAAGCGTGAAGCGTGCCACGTGCTGCAGCCCTGGTGAGCGGTAAGATCAGCCGCGGTTGTCTCGGGATGTTCTCGTTCGCATGTATTATGGCAATGTTAAAGTTTCTGCTGATGAGCAAGGCACGGCGAAACAGCTCGACTGTCAATAATCACACAAATCCCAATACCATTGGAATAACAACGCAAATGGCCTTCCAAAATCAGAACAGCTCTCGATTGCACAGCAGTAGGCCACCCCTTGACGCCGGCGGCTGTGTCATGCTATTAGCCACTCGCCTCTCGAATGAAAACCAGGAATGTGGCCAGTCACGCCAGCGACACATGATGCCAGCTGAGCCCCGCGCGCCCTGCCCCGATGTCGGCTCGGTGGATGCCCGGGCGCCTCAGCCGAGCGCAGCGCGGTCGAGCTAGCGCGGCGGCACGGCACCGGCCGAGCGGGCGCGCTGGTTCTGGCGCAGCCGGCGCAGCGCCGCGGCCCGCCGCCTGTTGATCTCAGCCTGGCGCAGACGCACCGGGTCGGCGGGCGCACTAACCGTCGGTGGCGCACCGTTTGCCTTCGCTGGCCTGGGCGCCGCCGGCAGCTTCTGGTGTGTCACGGCGCCGCCGCTCCGGCCCGGCGCCGCCGCACCCGACCGGGCGCCACCGGCCGTGCCGACCGCCGTCGCAGAGACGCCGGTCGTCTGACTCTGCGTGCTGGCAGCCCGGCCAGGCGGTGCCGGCCTGGAGCCGCTGGCCGCGCGGCAGTCTGGCACGGACGCGGGCCGGGGCAGACCGCGGCCCACCGCCGCTGGCCGCGGCACGGCTGGCTCGACGTGAGCGCAGGAGTCGCTACTGACGCCGCTGGAGGACTCGGCCGGTGGTTCGGCACCGCCCAGCGCCTCGTCGGGATCTGGCTGAAGATCTCGTCCTCCTCGTCCGGCATCGCGTCCATGACGAACGCGTTAAATGAGTGCGAGCGGCGCGGACTGGACGACTGCTCGGCCATCTGGGAGCAGCGCAAGCAGCGACCGCTCCAGCTCCGGGTCCGACTCCATGTCGGCCGGCGCCGGAGCCGCTGGCGGCGGCGGCTCAGCAGCGGGCGGGCGCCGACACAGGCTCTCGGCCGTCTCCAGCAGCGCTAACAGCTGCATGTGCTGCTGGCGGGTGGGGCGCTGCGCGGCGACGGCGGCCGGCCGGCACCAGCGGCGCCGGCGAGGCGGCCAGCGGCGCCGGCAGCGGCGGCACCCGGTCGCCCGGTCGGTGCACGGCCCGCTTCAGCGCCTCGGCCCGGCCAGCTCGGCACCTCGTCGTCCCAGACGATCTCGCACACCTGAGATGACGGCGGCGGACTGAAAGGCGAGATCGGCGAGTCCCAGCAGGCCGTCTCGGCGGCGGGCGGCGCGCGCAGCGGCGTACTGTAGGCGTCCGGTTGCGTGCCGCTCTCGCTCGTCGCTGCCGCCGGCTGGGCTGGGACTGGTGAGGCCGCGCGACTCACGCCGCGACAACTTGGAACGAGCTCGTTTCAGCACAGGCGTCGTGTCCATGCTGGCTGGCAGTGCTGGCACTGCTCGACAGCAGTGCACGATGCCAGGGAGCTCAGCAGCCTGACAGCTCAGTGTAACAGCTCAGTGACCTGAAACATGGATGAAGCTTTGTGTCTGCAAGCAAAACCATGAGCCTGATGAATCCTGTTATCCATTGCCTAAATCACATGTGCAGTGTCAAACAAATGCCTGGATCCCAAAAGATGAATCTAGGATCCTATAGGACTCCATATTGACAAGATCCTTGGACCTTTTAGCCAGTTTAAAGCCTCAAAATTGTGTATCCTGATCCAGGATATTCAGATACTTTTTATGGCTCCACACTGCAGGTTCATCTGGTGTGTCAATTAAAGACAAGTCACTCTGTGAAATGTAGTGAAATCAGAATGAAAAGTGGCACTCCACCATGAAAATAAAATGACTCATGTATATCCATAATCCATGTGCCAAATGTGCATGCAATGAAAGCATTACAAACACCATAGCTCACTCCTGACACCAATTGTGACTTTGCATCACGAAATATGTGTTTTGGTGTTATGTTCTTGAGCTTAATAGCAGGCACAGCAGAGAAATTGTGACAATGTGAGAATACAATCTTCCATTCAGGTTTGTCCAACTGAAAATTCAACAACTGAAGAGGTTTATAAGGTGCTTAGCACAGCACATTGAAGTGTTATGCCTGGATCTCCTTGACTCAATGCTGTTGGATACCCCATACAGCCCAGGCACATTTCTAAATCCACATTAACTTCATCCAGATCCAAAGAGTGTCAAATGTTGCATACAGATTGTCTTCAATTTAAGCAACAGGGGAACAATTCTTCAAGAAATTATAATGTTGTGCTGGTGTAAAATAAAATAGTCACAAACAGGTTTCCATACAGAAATACACCGCAACAATTTCTTATGCCTTTTATGAATCCCGCACAATTCATCCTGTACTGTTTGACACATTGGTGTGCAAGCTAGAGCATATAAATGTCATGGATGTGCCAAGCACCATGGCACATAGTGGTTAGAAGAGTATCTAGGAAACCAGCAGTGTGGGCTTTGGCTCCCCATAGTACCTGTCAATCCTGCCTGGGTGAGGCAGGGAATGTCAGAGAACCTTAGCAGCTAGGTGCAACAAAAATCCTCAATGAGGTGTTATTAAACACACACAATATGAGAGGTTCAGTGAGGTCCTGGTCTTTACTGCGGAGTTTATGGGCAATGCATGAGAAAAGATAGTGAGTAGCCCCTTATCATATTCAAACTAGATCGAAGTGGTTACAATGAAGCCTGTACCTTCACACACAGGTACATTCTCACCTTAAACCTGCAATAATTGCAGATGACAGCACTCAAAGCTTGCTGATCTGACACGAGCTCCACCGCTTACCCCTGCATCAGTGAGAAAGTCCTAACGGAAACAAGCGCCCAAACACCGACGAATGCCGACCAAGGCTTAGAAACCCCTCCGAAACAGACCTCCGCACACAACAGGGCAATTTCATTGATCTGCACGATAAACTGTGCTGTCAAATGATCCTGGCGCGGCCGGGCGCCATAAACGTGAAATCTTGAACATCAATTGCTTCCATATCAGGGAAAACTATTTCAGCGCCGTTTGAAGTTGGGAACAGGGATCCGCGCTTGAAGAGCGAACCGAAGCGGCGGTAAGCAAATAGGAGCATGGTAGATATATCGCCTTGGTAGCTGTTGTTTTTTTTTGTCAGTGAATGCCATTTGCATCCATGAATGTCACTTTCCCCTGATTTCGGGGGAACAAATGATGGCTTTGGGGGGGGGGGGGGGCAAACCAAGATCTGGGGAGCTACTTCATCTGTAAATGGCATGTTTTGATAGGGCATCGTGAAAGCACATTTGTGTAGGCTAAATAGAGGAACAAAATAACACTTAAAATTTGAGGGCAAGTGTCACCCCAGTCCATATTCCGCTTTTCCCTCTGTGCGCAAGCTATATCCACGCTGGTTATTTTCTGCTTGTCAACTTTAACATTAGGTGTAGCTTGGCATGGCATGAACAGTTCTGCCATACATATTTTGGTGGTGCATGAGAAGACAGAGTGTTCTGTTCATCTGGAATAACACAGATCAAGTGGTAGATTCACCACATGTCAGAAAAGTACTCATCCCATGGGCTTTCACATGCATGTGGGAGGGCCTACTGCAATCATGCAGGCAGCATGTTAAAAAAAAAACAGCCACTGCCCTGGTTAACTGACACTTCACTCTGCTGTGCTTTGTGACTCAACAGATGCATAACCTTTTTGCCTATGGTAGAGTGCATGACACCTGAGATAAATCTGATTTTTAAAGCAACTCCTCTGGCTCTGTTAATGGTAATGATTAGTAATAGCCTTATTCCTCAGAGAAATATCAGGAGAATGGAAATATACATGGATTGATATTTCAGCATCATGCCTGTATTGAAATGATAGCAGCTGTATCTTCTGCTGTCATTTTTAAAAAGGCATGCTGCCAAAATATCAACCCATCTATATTTCCATTCTCCTCATTTTCTGTGAGGATTGAGGCTATTACTACTGTCTTATCTATATGAATAATGTTTTCACTAATGCACTGAACAACTTAATGGTTAATGGCAATATTCCTGTGCAATATGGGGTGAGCAGCACAGTAACAGGAGACCGATCAATTGTCAATGTGTAGATGATACAAGAACCTATGCTTGTGGAGGTAGGCACCTTTGGGAACCCATGCCAAGGGCTGTGTAGCTAGTTTCATGCCTAGCTAACCCATTTGATAAGATCCATGGCAGTTCTAGCTCCATACAAAAGTTGATCCATACAGGTTTGGTCAAATGTGTTGGGGCCGCAGTGACTGCCAAACTGGATCATCAAGGCCTGAGGCCTGTTTTGGCCCATCCTGTGCAGCTTTTTGTGATAAGTTTCATATTTATTTGCAAGGGGAATGGGAAGGCTTTGTTTTTTGAAGATACCATAACAATTAAAAGGTGTATCTTATCACAGAACACTTCTGAACTTGTGATTGATTGCTCCAATTTTGTGAGCTTTTGGCAAGTGTAATGGCTCAATTGGGCTGGGCTTTAGTGAAAATGGCATTGCTGTTGTGGTGAGACTTGCCTGGTGTGCAGTCTTGCTTGTAACTAATGGGAACGTATGATTTTTCAGGCAATGGCTGCTCCGGTTCGATTATATGATGCCCATTACATTCCATTACCATCACAGGGTAATGTCTACAGCTTGGCATTTCTACAAGTGGACAGGGGAGTTACAAAAGTTCTGGTGGCATCATTGAAAAGAAAAGTGAGAGCAAATCGCATGTAAGAACCCTAACAGTCTGGCATGCTGGCTCATCTGATAACACACATGAAGTGTTTATTGTGTAACAAAGCAGCTAACTTATGCCATTGCATTGTCACTGTAGAGGTATTTTGTTTTCCACAACCCTCAAGGTGCTGTCCTGATGTCTCTAGCTCTGATTGTGAAATGGGGAAAAATTAAATGATTAACAGCTGTGGTCCATCTCAACCGTCGATTGAGGAGTTAACATTTTTCTGGTAACTGATGATGTCACAACTTGTGCAAAATTCTCCAAAGATCACAACAATTTTGGAATGACTTCAAGGCTGTTTAGCACCTGGGATCATGTTTAATCTTAGAACCGGCACCAACTGATAGAGCGTGTTCTTGGGTTCCAAAATCAGATATGGTGTTGACAAAGGTCGAGGGCTAATGTCGGATGAAGGTCAGATCACCCCATCACTTGCAATTTTCCTGTTTGTCTGGCTTGGCATACAAATGTGTTTGATGTGGAAATGAGTTAGCTATATGGTCTTACTGCTCACAAATGGTCTTGACAAATAATCTTGTTTCAACACCATTTGGAAAGCTGCCCTCATATTTTTTTCTGACAATGGCCTGTTGTGACCATGTGCAAAGTGACCAGTGCTGACAGATAGTGAAACAAGTTGATTTATTGCTTCAAGGCAATGAAACGGATGAATTACATCAAAGGAATCTGAAACAAGGGAGGAATCTTGGTTTTGCCGCATTTTGAGACAAAGATCGTTTTTTACAGGCCTACTTTGATGACATCTCAAATCATTGACCTGACCTAACATCAAAGTTATATTTGATCCACAATTTTTCAAACCGATAGTTTGTCAGGCTCTGAAATTTAGTGAAGGTGACAGACATGGTCTGCAAGTTCGCGAAAGCCAGATGGGTTACTTGTAACCCCCAGATGGTCATGGGTAAATGTGTCGGTCTTTTTCACTGGGCGCCCAGCAGTAAAACTCAATTGTCTTCATGTATTGTCCCAATTTATGTGCATCTTTACAGTGCCCTTTATGGCGGTTTCCCATTGTCATATAACTTGTTGCAGCTTCACCATACGTGCCATGACTTGCCCGGTCTCGTGCTCGACTCCTGCGGGAGTCGTAGTCGGCTCCGAAATCAGCCAGACTTCTGTCAGTTCATAGGTAAAATCAGTTAAATCAGTTAAAAATCAGTTATAATCATCATAGGTAAAATCAGTTCCTTTTAAAATAGAGCGAGTTGGATCGGGAGTTGAGCCAACGTGATCTGTCTGACTCATTGATGAGTGCACTCCGGTAAAAAGGTAGGTAACAGCTGTTGATCTGTCGTGCGTTGAAGCTCGTGCACATCGCGCTCGTGATTGTGGATGTGCAGCAAAGGGAACGTAGGATGCATTATAAGCTCTCATGTTAAAAATATCCGACCCTAAACACACCAGGAGGTTATAGCTGAACAAATAAATCAGGCTATCAATGAGATATGTTAATTCAATGACCGTCGTTCCAGACAAGTGGAAGTGACATGTCAACAAGGTTTAGCACAAATGATGTGCTTTGGTTTATGAGCACCCCTTGTACGTTGGGTTCAAGCCGCTTTAAGCGCTCGCCTTTTGCACCTGGCCGCGCTGGCTGGTGGCTGATGGCAGTGGCTGCGCTGAAGGTCAGGTCTGGCATTCCTTGCTCGGTTGATGGGGCCAGGGCGCACCCTGTCGGTCGAATTGTATCAACTTTAAGTCAGAGGAGTCATTTCAAAACTGGAACGTGCTGCTCAGAGTCAAGGTGGGAATCGCTCACCTCACTTACTAAGTGCCAAATCGCCAGGTGTATTCGCTGGAGTATGTTCACGACGCGCGTGGAGTTCTGCATCCCACCGTCAACGAGATTCCCTTCACCTACCTGCCGGAGGGCTCTGAGATCATCTCTATCGATGCATTCAACAAGAGCGAGAACAGAGAGGAAATGGTGGTGGGATTTGCCATCATCAAGGTGAGCGAGGCGTGGTGGGGCACGGCGAATGCCTTTAAGCCGGTATGGGCTACGATGCTCGTGTTATGGTGTTGATGATAGGGGCACGTGTGAGACGGGCGTGGGTGGCTGGGGTGGTGCCTGCCCTTCATGTCAGGGTGAGAGGCAAGCGACGCCATGCTGTACCCTCAACAGCTGACGGCGTGGCGAAGCCCTAATGGAAAAATAAACGGAACGACAGTTTTAATACACGTTATGGTCAATTGTATACAAGCCAACATATAGCGAGTAGATAAGATCGTCGCGTCGCACCGTTGTGCGAGTCATGCAGACGTTGCTCTGAACGCTCTGATTCACGCTGCTGAATGCAGCACACGGTACCGGTATTGCCCGAGGGAGAGGGCAGGGCCGACCCGCGGCTGTCAGGCCGGTGTGCGGTGCTGAGCGGTGACCGACCCCGGCTGTCGTGACGGCGTGAGGCGCTGGGCGGGGCCGACCTCCGTCTGTTGTGCCGGTGTGATGTGCTGAACGAGGTTTCCGACCGCTCCGATTGGTTGTCAGGGGATAGAGCAGTCGGTCAGGCGGCAGTCACCAGGTCACGTCCGCTGTCGGACGCCGATCGGCCGCTAACTGGACCTGACCTGACCTGACCTGACCTCACTCCGCCCCCTACCAGGACGTAGACCGCGGCGACGGCAAGACGTCACAGTACCTGAACATCTACAGCGACTGGGAGCCGGAGTTTGGCGCCAGCCCGCTGGAGACGCTGGCGCAGAACTGGCGCCACGTGGAGCTGCCGTTCATCCCGTACCAGCTGCAGCACGCCGTCGTCGACATCAACGGCACGCTGGACGTGAGTGGTTGCAGTCGGCAGCCAGCTGTTTGTATGCAATTCCTGTAGTGTTCGGACGCACAGTGCTGACTCTCGGGCCTCTTGAGATGTCAGTATGCTGCGTCGCAGTGACCGTACGCCTGGGTGGGGCGTCATGCGACCAACGCAGGCGACACGCCCCAAAAAAACTGAAGTCATTATCATGCGCAGGGCGCGAAGGCACGGGGGGGGGGTCACCGTAGGTCGTGGGGCTGTCATTTTTGGGGAAAAAACGTAATCGTACGCCGGAAGCCGATAAGAATCGAAGCTATCCCTTCCGCCGTGTTCCAGCCCCTTCGTATTCTTTGTCTCTGGGGTCTCAAAGGGTCGACCGTAAACTGGAGCTAACGATTTGTCAGTCCCGTGCCGGGGACCAGACCCTTCACTGATCAGAAGAGCACATTTCCATCAGTAGTTTTTGTCACTCGGCGCCAAATCACATTCATTTTGTTTTTGTCTGGTTACGCACTGTTTTGCATTACAGACCTGTTTCCTGCTGAGTGGCAGCGACAAGACAATGCACTTGTATTGCGAGGATAAGCCCAATCAGAGCTTCCGCGAGGAGCCTCTGGAGCCGCTGTTCCCGGAGTTTGCCGACCTGCCATCTGTCGTCCTGTGGACGAACTTCTACAAGGACATACCCGGACTGTGGGTGGCACTAGAATGTTGTTTGTAGGAAAAACGATATAAACTTGTGTGTGCATACGAAACACTTCAGTGGACACCAGTGGGTCCCAGCCATTCCACAGACCTTTCGTCGATGGACTTCGAGTTGCCAAAAATTTAACTGCACGGTTCTAAATGTCACCTAGCTGTTCCTTATTATGCAGTCTTTTAGTACCTTGACCGTCCTATGCCCTGGTTTGACAAAGGTCGCTATTCTGGGTCGCGTCCTGTCCCGTGTCGGCCATCGCGGGTGGTCCGTCACAGTGTACCGCCATCACCGCTGCAGCCTGGCCTCGGCAGACCTCCAGCGACCGCCGTCTTCCCGACCTGGCACGCTCAGACGGCCCCCTCCCCCGTTGCGCAGGCGCGTGACGGCCCTGGCGTGCGAGGGCGGCTACATCCGGGTGAGCGTCGTGGACCTGTCGCTCCTGCGCGTCACGCACGTCTGGTCCACGACGCACGACAACCCGGTGACTTCCGTGCGCCTGTTCACCCTGGGCACGCGACTGGAGGCGCCCGAGTTTGTGCGCGCGGCGCTGCGCGACCCGAGCGACCTCGCCACCCCCTGCCGACCACCAGCCGCTGCACCTGCTGGTCACCAACGCGCTGATGCCGTCGGCGGTGTACAGCGAGCTGCCGCTGGCGCCCGGCCGGCCGCGCCGCGCCGGCATCTGCTGGCCGACAGCGACGCCAGCGACGTGGTCACCTGCTCCTGCGTCTGCGACATCAACATGGACAGCCGCAACGAACTGGTGCTGGGCACCTACGGACAGGTGGGTGGCGGTGGCCCCTCCAACTGCACGGGTGCTTTAGGGACATCAAGCCCTTTGAGACTTTTCAACAAGACGCACAAGCGGCTTTGAATTCCGAAGATATTGTGGGTTTCTTCTCCTCTTCGCCCTTCGCTCTGCGGCGAAGCCCATGATTGACATTTCTGTACATCTCACGGGTGCAGCTGTAATCTTTGTCACGGTGGGGGGCAACCCGGCTTGTTGGAGCTGAAGCTGGAGCTGGAACTCAGTGAAAGCTCGTCACGCTGATTCTTAACTTGCCGTCAGGAGCTACCCCTACGTTGCGAGCTGTGGGGGAAAATGCGGGCCGAGGGGATGGGGGTGGGGGGGGGGGGGGGGGTGGGGGGGGGGGGGGGGGGGGGGGGAGGGGCGTGTCAGTAGACCCCTTCTTGGTTGCGCCTTGGTGCACCTCACGTGTTGAAAGTGGATCCTGGTGGCGAATGTTCGTCATCACCATCGTCCGAATTACGGCTACTCCGTGACCGGGTCAGTCGTGTGGAAGTATTCGCTGACAGCCGACGCCGACATCTCCGCCGTCTCTCACCAGGAGATCCTGGTGTACAGCCTGCAAGGCAACACGTGGGCGCAGATCTGGCGCCACAGCTTCTCGCAGCCGCTGCTCGGGGTCACTTACGTGGACCTGATCGGGGACGGCATCAACGAGCTGGTGGTGCTGACCAACCACGGGCTCCAAGTGCTGCAGGTGAGTCCGTGGATCGCTGCTGGAGTTGTTGAGTTGGTGAGCTGCGGCGGCATGGTCGGACGCTGGCTGGGCCTTAAGTGCGTTGGAAAACGACATTGGTCATAACGCTGCCGCGGGTGGCTTCAGAAATCGCGCTTCACTTGACTGCAAGCTGTTGTAGTGAGTTGGGACATGAAAGTTGCGTTGTTGTAAGGAAATGCAAGGTGCCGTTGCGATGAGGGAGATGTGCGTCGCATCTGTCGCTGCGTTCCATTTGATGACGAACCCTGGACTGTAGTGACAACCACCGTTAGGCCCATTTTAGGCTGCAATACTTCGATTTCAACTCGCTTCGAAATACGACGTGCGATGGCTGGATGGATCGCTATTCGTAGGTAGTTTGATTGCCCCAAACGGAACATCCGTTGTTTCTTCGGTTGGACCGATTGATGTGCCTGTTGGTTATCATGTCCAGTGCACCTGGGTAGCGACAGGATGATCTGAGTGCACAGTCCCGGCTGCGCCCGCCGATCGCCGGTGCTGCGCAGCTTTTGCCATCGAATGCGCGTGGGCGCCGGTTTCGGGCCGCCAAGCCTGACCTGACATGACCTGACCGGGACCGGTGGTCGGCAGCACGACACGCGCGAGGCGGCCGCCCTCTGCCGCCAGCGGCTGGAGACGTTGAGCGGTCTGACCAGCGGCGACTTGGGTCGGCTGGTGGAGGCCGCCCGCCGACCGGCCGGCCAGCAGCAACCCTGACCTCGGCCGACTAGAAGAGATCCTGACCTCGGCCGGCCAACAGTGACCTTGACACCGGGCCGCGATGCCAGTCTGCCGCCCGTTGACTAGGGACAGTAATCCAGCCGCCCGACAGTAACGTGAACCGCGTGCAGCACTTCACTTTAAACACAGTGTAGATGTTTTCTACGTCGAAACATATCGGTTACCGGTGGTACAGCTGGCGGCAGCTCGGGCTGGGTGGCGCCACAAATGTCGCCCGGGCCGTGGCGACAGAAGTCGTCACGACCGCTGGCGGTCGCGTCTTGAGACCAGGCCTTGCGGGCCGCACTGGCTGTGACCTGGCGGAAGCGGACGCCCGCAAGGCCGGGCAGGGCGCCGCGGCTTCATCCAGGCGGGGTCAGTCACGCGGCCGTCCGTCACCACGCTCACATCGCCCAGTATTTGTGCCTCGTTAGTTAGTCAGCACTGGTTATAGATCATGACAATCTTGGATTGGAAAGGAAGACCGACTTGTTTGCCATTGTATGCTACGTTGTTTCTTCCCGTGTGGCATTTGGACATGGTGAAAGCGACGGTGATAATGTGACTGGGATCGTCTATGTCACGCCGGGTGGAGGCCGTGTGCACATGAGGCTGTTCAGGTGATGTGCAATTGCAGCTGAGTAATCAAACGTCTGTGTGGAGCTGATGTCACCGGTCCATTAACCAGGCTGGGGTCGGAGGGCGTACGTGAATGTTTGTGAGGCGAACGTACGCCTTCTGAATAACAAGGACCGACGTGGCTGTGTTTATGGGGGTACTCTGAGCCGGCTTCAAGGCTGCCGGTGAACGGTTCGGGTGAACACGGAGCCCGCTATGTCATATGTTCTGTATTCACACTATGGCTGCAGTTCATTAGCAAACTATCACAGTTCGAAGGATGGCGCCCCGACGCGCACGACAGACAGCTGAGCACCACGTGAGCCCCGCCTCCACCCGCACACGGCCCACACCTCATGCCACGCGGAGTCCCACCACGGCCCACACCTCACGCCACGCGGGGCCCCAGCACGGCCCACGCCTCGCGCCACGCGCGGCCACAGCACGGCCCACACCTCGCGCCACGCGGGGCCACAGCACGGCACGCATACGCGGGCAGACGCGTGCCCGGCTACCGCGGCCGCTGACGCTAAGCGAGCACGCAGCGCCCGGTGGCCGCGCAGTGGCCCGACAGGCGCAGCATCTGCTCCCAGTCGTAGCCGAACAACTCGAAGTCGAGCCGAAATCGGTGGCCGAGGCGCGCCACGGTGGCCGGGTGCACGGGCGCCAGGTAGCGCCTGGCGTGCTCCTCCAGCGCCGTGCTGTTGCGCTGGAGCGCGTTCTGCCGCGGAATCCTCACCGACGAGTAGATCTTCATTCGGTGCCACATGTACTGCGCGGAGGTACCGGCATCAGCGTCAGTCGAGACGGCGGGTACGGATCAGACAGGAAGCATGGGTCAGACGGGAGGCATGGGTCAGACAGGAAGTGCGGGTCAGACAGGAAGTACGGGTCAGACGGCAGGCACGGGTCAGACAGCAGGAACGGGTCAGAACGGCGGGTACGGGTCAGACAGCACGTACGGGCCATACGGCGGGTACGGTCACAAACTTCAGACGACCAGCAAGGGTCAGACGGTGGGCGGCAGATGCCGGGCACAGGGCAGGCGGGCGGGTACGACGATTGGGACGGCGGGCAGCTTGCTGCATATAGACCATACACTGGCGGCTGCGGTGACCCCTTTGGTCGTTCTCAAAGACTGCACGGTGAGAGCGCGGAAGGTTACGGGTAAAGCGTGCCGTTATTGAACAGTAAAGGCGAAGTTCATGACTCGGGGATGAGCAGGGCTTTACCAACCTTCACCGCAACCGACAATAACGACGAACAGGCAACAAGTCAGGTACATTTGGGTGCTGTGCAAGCCGTCATCCCGGCTCAGATGTAAAATCCACTTAAGATTGAGTCAGCTGTTGCGGTGCTGCATGCAGCTGGCGGCTCCGCCCCACTGGCCGTGACATCGTTCCCCGTCGGTGACCCCCCGCCGGCGGGCATGGGCTCAAGGGATGCGCGAGCTAGCTCACCTTGAAGTCATCAGCGCCGGTTTCCAGCATTCCGATGACGTCATAGTCCATGTGGCAGGGCGCGCACTGTCGCCAGTAGGGCGTCCAGTGACTGTCGAAAGTGTCTCCTGCCCGCCGGCGACGCGCAAGGTTACAGGCGTGGGGATTAGCGCGCGCAGGCGAGACTTGTCCGACGCTCATCCTACGCCTCAGGTCACCCATCAAGGCCAACTCGTGTAGCCTCAAACGGGATGAGTTGGCACAATGCTGCTGCTTTCTTTGCTTCTCGTATGAACATTTGTGGTCATCGCGAGCTGTTAAAACAAACACTGTAGAATGGCATCGTGGAATGAACTACGAAGCTGACATCATCGACTTTCGCATTAACTGGATACTCGGAGCAAGCGCTGCGTCTCGTCACCATCGCTCTCGTCAAATGTAACCGGAGTCGCCGGTACCGACAGCTCCCGGCACGGAACCATCGAAACGGACGGCCAAACGGACGGCTGCCGAGGCTGTTTGATCGACCCACCGGTGGGCTCACTGGCCAGCACGAAGTCGAGGAACTCGGCGAATGTGGGCACACCATGTCTCTGCTCCACCTGGCCCCGGTACTCGGCCAGCTGGGCGTCGTAGTCTGCCAGCAGGGCCGTGTCGTTCCCGGTGCCGGCCCTGCCGGTGGTAGCTCACGTTACCGCAGTCGGACACGCCGGCTCGCACCGGACAACACAATGGTGCACCCGGGCCTCGCCGCTGGCGCACACCGACCGCACCGGGCGCCGGCGGTCGCTGCTGGACACGCCGATCCGCACCGGGCGCCGGCGGTCGCTGCCGGACACAGCCGGTTCGCACCAGCAAGCGTCACGCAACCGCACGTCCAGCCATTGCAGGACCTGCATAGTACGCAAAGATGGTAAAGTCCACCATTCCTATGGACGTTTCGTGACCGTGCTCGTTGAGCTGTCACGAACACGCGCCCATTGCAGGTCATGGCGTATACTGGGCATTGTCTTTGTGCGCGAATGATAAGAGTCCTCGCTGGAAAACCATTTCAACGAACTGACACAAAGCAGCGCGACCTGATTTAGAGTTCGAAGCAGCTGTTACCGATCGCAATCGTACCCCATTGCGCACCATAGGCATCGATCACGTCTGCTCTTCACCTCCGCGTCAGCAAGCGACCTTTACAGCTGACTGATGATATCGTTCGTTGTAAAAGGTAGCGCGGCTGTTTGCTGCGCCGCATCACGCAGCACTAGCATCTGCCGTCGTCGCTCGGCGCCAGCTGGCGTACCTGAGCAGCTCGTAGACACGCTGGCGTATGTAGAGGTCCTCGTGGGTGGCCAGTATGGACCTTCTGAGCGCCAACAGGCTGGGGTGGTTGGCGCGCACCACCTTGTCCTCGTAGGCCGAAATCAGACGCTCCAGCGGGTGGCGCACGAACATGAACTTGAAATACTGCTTTTTAGCAAGCTCGAACTGGCCCGGCTTCTGTGCAAACGGGAACGTTGTATGATTAGACGGGGGATCAGACAGCGTACTGCAGATACACGAAGCTATGCATACATTTAAAAGAGGATATGCAAGTCCATGGCTTACACTCGAGCTAGCGTGACCGGTCGCACATATCAAACAGCGCTTTGGCCGCTGCGGCTTTCCGTTCTCTCCTCGATCAAAACACATCGGTTTGGCGTCAGTGCAAGGCCAGGCCGTTAAGGTCTAGTCCCAGTCTCGAGCCCCTAGCCGCGGTTTCAGTGCATGTTGAGCGTGCCCTTTGGCTGCTGACACATTTTATGCTCCTTACGCAGGGTCTCAAAATTCAATATTTTGGGTGTAAAATACACCTTTTAAGGCGGTTTTTGACTTGTTTGAACTACTTCGTATTTTCGGTCTCCTATTCCTGGATAGATGCATCACGTCAACGTTCCTGCAAGCACCACTTTGGCGTCAATAAAGCAATGTTACACCAATCTATTATTCCCGACATGTACTCTATAGCAACACAAAGTTACGAGGCTGTTGTATTCATATCTTTTCGGCCGAAGCTCACAGACAATCTCCACTTGAAATCGGCCTTGAACTCAATAAATTATTCTACCATGCGAAGGTCTTTTTCTATTGCGGCCTTCCGAAACAAAGGAAAACAAAGACTGAAATGACACTTAAATTTCTAGCACAAATTGCCAACAGCTTGGGACAATGTCCGCGCCAAGAGTTTGTCTACACCTAATGTCATTGTTGATTTTTTGTTGTTTTTTTATCGCTTAAGATTCATCTGGAAACCTTCATTTTACTACTGGTGTTGCGGCGCTCGTTGATGTCAGATGTCAGAGAAGGAATTTACATCAACTAGGGAGGAACAACTAAAGTAACAAGCGTCTTGATATTGTACGCATGAAAACACGAATGCGTTTGCATTCTTAAATTTCTGCGGATTTCAGTCTCTTTTCGGGATTTGGCGAGGACATTTCAGTCTCCGTGACACTTTTTTCTAAGGCGGGTCTTGATACACTGCTCTTACATTAATAGAACGGAAAATGCTGCATTTAGTTTTGCTTCGCGATGCACCGAAAAATCTGGCCTGATTTTGACGACACCTCTTGGAGGCAAACGCCTTCAGATTTACACCATTCGACTTAAAAAAAGTGCGCCTTTTGTTGCTGAAAACTGCAAGGGGCAGCGATCAGTGGTTGCAAAGGTATTTGTTTCTAAGGAGTGCAACGGCCGGACCTGGCCAGACCGGGTCTATCAGATACAAGGTTCTCACGCTGTTGACATAGGACTAGCGTGGGCAGTAACCGAGCTCGTTATGCAACCCATCAGCTCAATAATATCATCGATGGCAGACTTAAGTTAGAGCTGGATGTCGTATCCAGTGAAAGCTAACTTTTCCGACAATCTTGCGACTGGCTTCTTCCGATATATCAAACACAACTGAAAGGGGCCACACCATTCACATGGCAGCAAATAACAAAAGTTAAAGCGAAGGCTTAATCGATGACGTGATTCCAACACACCTAGCATCGCAGATTCTCTATGCTCGTATATCAGCTCGGCAATAGGCATGTTTGCAGACATTTAAGTGGCCTGCGCGCCGTCCAGGGGTCAAAGGTTGCCGTTACCCTCGCCTGACTCATTCTGCGACCGGTCGTCGGCTCCAGTGAAATTGAATTCATGAATGCGTCTTCTCACGAATTGCTAATGCACCGCATTACTAATGCCAATGTCAAATTCGGTTTACTTTCTCTTGCTCCAAGGCTTTCGTTTTCACGGTCACTGTCTGACTAGCGAGAGGAATCATGAAATGTCAGCACCATTGAAATTTGAGCTCAGCAAAAAATATCATGAGCTTGAGATCACATTGGTTTCTTTACAACTCTCAGTGATTTCAAAAGAGGTTACGTTTTACTTTGGAATGCTGCGAATAGCTCCCAAATGCAATGATGAGCTATGACATTCGTTTCTTTTAAAACAAATACTGCAGTCCTCGTAGATGGTTGCCCATCTATTAGATCCAAGCCGGCAGCGATCGTTACCTGAATTCCGGTGATAATCCTCTGAATCCATCGGAGTAAGAAACGAGTAAAATCACTGAAATGGTGCAAATGAAAGCAACAAACCCTGGCAGGTGTAAAAAGCAGCGGTCTGTGATGGGTTTGTCGAAATTCGTGCGCAGCTTCGGTCTGATCTCACTGTCCAATGAGCGAAAACACAAGGCTGAAACGATCGGCACCGATCGCCGTTAGTTTGACCATTTCGCCGCGCTCAATCGCCCAGCCATCCACCGCAGTCAATGGGCTGGCCAATCAGCGCCAACTGTCGCCGATGACCGCCTGCAGTGTTCTGCTCATTAGAAAGTGTCAGCAGCTCTCCGAACACAGGCGCTCAAGAGATGCGCCGATACTGGCTGACGCGGAGCGAAGCAACGGCTTCACAGCACCAGCGGAGAAACCGGCGTGTGGACCGGGACTGGGAGCACCCCGGCACAGCTCGAGGCCGCCGGAGAAGAGCAATGTACCGAGGACGGCCAGCACTGGCGTGTGGACTGGGACTGGGAGCACCCCGGCACAGCTCGGGGCCGCCGGAGAAGCGCAATGTACCGAGGACGGCCAGCACCGGCGTGTGGACTTTTTGGGCTTCAATTTTGACAAAACACATGCGAGAGCACACCATAAATGTGCGGCGCACATTTGTACCCTATGCGTTGCTATACCCGGTGTGACTTTGGCGTTGCATAGAAATGCAGTCAAATTGATGGCAGTAAGTTGCAAAGTGTCAATGCATCAAACTGCACGCTGGAATTTTTAACAGCGATCATGAAAACTCATAAAGATCGTAAGTACACACCAGCTGTTTGTGATGACATTAACACTAAGAACTGTACGCTTCTCTTGTTCATGCCAAGCATTGATTAAGTGTCGCATGCGTGGCGTTCATTTGTTGCTGCGAAACACGCTTCATGAATGGATCATCAAGCAATTCCAATTTCAAGGTGCTGTCATTTAATGTCTTTCCTATGGTCAAAAATGGGGTTTTGCGGGATGACGCCTACGGTAATCGTCTCGCCCGCCGCTTGTTTCGCGTCAATTTCAGTGATAACGGTGCTGTGCACAATCTTTTGCGCCCGATTGGTCAAGTCACATTCATGCAGACCAGGCTCATCACCCCTGTTTTTATGAGTGTGGATGCGAGCCGAATAGGTCTTACTTGGGCTATGACGCAATTTTCAGCTCGATGACACGTGACGGCTGAGCCAGGTCGGCCAGGCCGCCTTGCCAATCACGCATTCTGTAATCACTGATCGAATGTTGATGTGGGTTTAGTATCTAGAAACGAAATTATTTTAAGATTGTGCGGCATGTCTCTTAAGCAATTCGCGTGCACAAGTTTCTTCATCAGGCAGATTCTTCCTGTGTCCTGAATTTCTCTATGACCACAATTTTACTATTTTAGTTGATAAACGTGGCAAACATACAGTTATTGAAAACCTCTACGTGTCAGATTGGGAAAAAGTCGATCGGGTGGGCTTGAGAAAACATCCGATTTACGGGGTAAGTTCGGTGACAAATGTGAACACTTTTGCGAGCTATTTGGTGACGAAATTGCGGAAATGGAAACAGATGACGACAGCACATCCCAGTTGCGCGAAACTCAAAGCTTAGTATTGGTCTGTAATTAGTATTGGTATTGGTCTGGTCGCTACCGCTTGCATCGTGAGCTTGTGCAGAGTGCATGCCGAAATATTGATGTTAGCGCTGCATGAGCAAACTTCACCAGGCGGTCAGTCTAGTGCCGGACACGTGGTCTTCCCTGTGCCTGAAGGGCGCTCCTGAGACGGGCATACGGCCCCCTCTGTGCCGGGCACCCGGCCGCTCCTGTACCGGACATCCCGCAGTCCCAGCGATCGAAATAGCGACGCTCCAGTGAGCGGCTCACCGTCGCTGCAGTGAGGTACTGGCGCCGCACACTCTGTTAAGATAATGAACATTCTAATGGCACAGTCCGATTAATGCAACAAGTATCTCACGTATTGCTCTTTTTGATGAACTCGTGGTATGTGGCTACTAGGTCCCCGGTCCAAAGCTGGAACATAGGATGGGCTGTACGTGAATATACCCATAACAGGTAGCGGATAAATTCTGTTGGTGATTATGACACGTGCTCTGTCCAAATGCTACTTCAAAAAGTGGCAATTTTGATCCAGGAGCGGCGCTGAAATCAGAATAGTTGCTAACCACTAAGCAAAGTCCCCACATAACGAAACAGTCGCAGCGCCCGCAATCCAAATAACTACCAATCTCACTAAGCGCGGCTCATTACGAGGACATTGACTCGTTATCCACGTGAACTAGACCATGGAAAATATTATCCTTTGTTGGATTTGATTGCTTTTTTTGGTGGGAAGAGTTTCTCAGGCGAGGACTGTAGTTGCTAGAAATCTGAACTTTGGGCATTACGGAAAGCTATGAGATTCATTGCAGACACTGCAAATATAGACATGGGCTGTACCCGTGATTTGAAACAACATAGCAATTCTCAACTTAAGGTAACGCAGTTTCTAACATCAAAGAGAGTGTACAACTGATTGCAAAGCGGTGGAGAGTGATTTTGTATGGATGGAATGAAACCTGGTATAGTTCTTTCTCCAAGAGTGGCATTGTCCCAGAATGTCGTGAGACGGAGCATTGGGTCTGTTATTTGTCATTTATTGTCGTGATGTCGTCGCTGACCAAACATGTTCTTGACTTTCTCCGCACACACGACGTCTTAAGTTTGAACCGAACCGACATGTTCGCCGGCCTGAAGCCCGCGGCGCCGCCCACTCGTGCACTTAGACCTACGCCTCAACCACTGGGGGTTTTGGCATGACCGGGAAGAGACATTTTTAGGAAGTTTTGGCAAGAAGGCGTTTAGATTTCGACGATATGGTGTCGGAGTGAAGCAAGGCCGTCATAATAACGGGTAATGACGGACATCATTTTACACGGAAA